GGTGGCAGGAACGGCCAGCAACAAAGCCCACTGAGCGCCAGCATGGGTGTCTCCTTGCAGGACGTCTGCGAGCAGGAAACTTGGGTGGTGGTGCGTGAGTTCTGCCAGTGCAAAGAGAGTGAAGGCGGCGAAGGAAGTAACAGCCATCGTGAGCAGGAAGACACCGCGAGCACTCATCTGTTCGACCGATACGGCAGCAAAGGCCTCATCCTCATCTTCCGGCTCCACGATGAGCCGCGGCAGCGTCTTGGGTTTGCGGCGTGTGAGTTGTGGTGCTTCCTCCATTGGTTTTGCTTGGCTTGGTTTCCACTTGAGCACTTGGCAACAAGTTGCAAAGTGATAGATGAAATGCGGTGAACAGTTTTTGGGTTATTCACAGCCAGGAGTTTCGCAGGCGTAATCGTTCTTGAACGCGAATAAATTTTTGCGTAAACGGCGCAAGCAATTCTGGCCCCAGCTTGAAGCGATTGGCGCGACACGGAAGATGTTAAAATGCACTGGTTGGGAGCAGGAAGCGAGTGTTTTTGGCCTCGTACGCGGTCGCAAGGTGCGCGCAATCGAAAGCTGCTGATGCTGGCCGTTTCCTTACTTGACAACCGTGACACAAAAGGTGGGACCAAAACCAGACGGACCATTTCCCAAAGACGTATGCATCAGGATTTGGTTTTTATGCAAAGCTGGACGAGAAATAGCCCCAAGAGATAACCAACACAAACTAACAAACCACTCCAAGGAAAAAAAATCGCGAATATCGATCAGTAGTGCATTCACAACAGCATGACATTGGATTACTATCTAGTAGCACTATGTAAGAAGTTGTGGCTACTTCTGTATGCATACAGGCAGATTATTCAATCGCCTAGTCATTTGCTCTACTGCTTTACCCTCGTGGACTGGTACACGCGCTCACTATTCGCAATCTCGTGCAGCAGTGTAGCATGGTCGGGGTGCGATGCTTATAATCCCACTGCAAAAGTCAAGAGTTGCTGGTTGTACACAATCGGTTATATTAGTAGTAAATACGTCTTTTGTCGCTCCCCAGCACTGTTTTTATCAGATCTGATTATGAGGACGACGTAATCATCTTCGTACCTATTTCAATTGACGCCATTTTTCATGTGTAAACAATACCGTTGTTATGTACCCCTCCGGCAAGTCCACAATAACAGCGCCAACATGACAGGCTTCCTTCACAATTTTAAAATCACAAAGGAGAATTTCAGCGAGCGACAAGCTGCAACAACTGACGATAAGCATCTTATCATTGAAAGAATTGACTGTTTCCATGCGTGACACGCCGAGCAAGCTGTCTAGATAGCACCGCTTGCTGCACACAACGTTCCAGAAGAACGAGGAACTGGAAATGTCTAGTAATTTCTTGGTCGTTGCTATCTGCATATCTAGAGCGTACTATAGTTCATGTACTTGTGTGAACATTTCCAATCCGATCAGCAGCAGAGTCGCTGTGAACAGATTACCGTTAATAAAACTGAAAGGAGTTTTACGGTAAAACTTTTACCCTCTATAATTGGGTTCCAATTTGGTGCGGCATTGATTAGCATTGATTATGGGATGAGGCTTCAACATTATCCAGATAAGTGCGAAAAGGTGGAGCAATCCAAGCGACATGATATCTTGAACAGAGCTTTTGTTTTTCACTTACTTCAAATGCATTCTGGACGCCAATTCGCTCAGAGCTGCCTTACTCTCCTCCGGTTTCGCGACGTACGCAGCGACAGCCACGGCGGTTAGCCCGATCACCCCCATACCCGTCTTTCGGCCTGGCAGCCAAATGCCCGAAGATTTCGAGCGCGCGTTCATGGGCCTGTGGAGCATTCACATGCTAACGTCAGTAAACTATCATCAATTCCAAATCATTCGCAAGGCAATAGCACTTACGGTCGCAATGCAGTAGCCACGAGGACGCGGGCGACCTTGTCCTTAACGTAGTATGCTTCGTGGCACTTCAGCGACGTCGGGTACTGCTTCAGCGTCGCTTCAATCGCAAAATCGACGGGCTCAACCTTCACGAGAGAGCTGCTTTCGTCGGCATCCTCGATGGCAACCTCCATGTCTTTCTCGCGAGTCTCAGGCTTGAAGCTAATCACAACTCGCGGGATTGATGAGGGTAGCTTCTTGTCCAATTCCTCCACGAATATTTTACTCGGTTCATCCTCTGGGTTCAATACCAAAAGCAAAACATCTGCCTTCATCACGATCTCGTCATCAGACAACACCTCCGTTATCTACAAACATCGACAATAAAAAAAAGGTCATGAGTCACATTCTCACCCCCAAATAAACTGCAACCAACACATACAAAGAGGTATTTTGTCGTGTCTCGATCAGGGACAGCTCCGATAGCACGAAGAATGATCTGCTCTTCGTCTGTTGAGGCCCCCTCATTTCCGCCAACAAAAGTGTGCACAAAGTGCTCTTTTCCTGACTCAGGGGAGCCAAAAATGTAGCACGAGACTACATTCCGCTCGATCCTCATGGCCTTGCGCGTCAAGCTACGGCTCCTACGTATAAGATAATCATCATCACGCAGTTAGACGAAGATTTCAGATTAATTTCTCCAATAAACGTACTTGACAAACTCGACCGCCGGGAAAAGCTTGTCGTTGTAGCCCAGATAGAACAGCGTTTCAAGAAGCTTTTGCGGGTTTTCCTGCGCAACGAAGCTCCAGCAAGCGAGCCATACTTCTAGCGACATTGTAGGTTTGCCATCCACCAGTGTTCTTTCATACAATAGCGGCGACGAGATAGCTGAGCACGTCGTCCATGGCGCACTTTCATCCTCGCAAATGGAGAAAATGTCCTCAACCTCATTCTCCGCAATATTGTTATCCTTGTTTGCGTCAAATTGACGGAATAAGTTCGTTAGGAACTCGACAGCTTGAGGAGTGAGCTGCGCAGACTGGTCCTCTTCATAAGGAGGCAACTGAAGACGTTCCCGAGGAATCTCCAGGTGCAAGCCGTTGTTGTATCCTAAACTGCGCAGCACTTGCCAGCCCGATTCTGGTCGGTTGCGGTCGATAAACAGCCACCACAGATAGATAAAGCCTTCTACAAGAAGTCCACTGCGATCAGGAGCCACTCCGGTCGGTACCACCGACGACAGATAGTCCATCAGCGTATCGATCTCCGCAGACAGAAGACGCACACCAAAGCAATCGTACTGGTACTCGTTGAGTTCCTCACGACTGAGAATCCCGCTGCGATCGCGGTTATATAAGCGGAACGCTCGCTTAATCGCCTTGCGGCATTTTGGTTGCAATTGCTGCAATGCATGAGTTCATAAAAAGTTAAACAAGCAAGTACCACAACCATACCGCAATGTGTCCCTTCGTACCCGCTTCTTTTCATTGTAAAGTGGAGCAACAGGATAAAGCACCGCCTTCTGTGCCAAAAAGAAAGCTTGAGCAACTTGGGTAAAATTCTTCGCTGAGCATTCCACCTCCGATACTACAAACTGCAGCAGCCAGAGTCAGCACTCCATTGGCATCACAAATAAAATTATCTCTACGTACTGGATATGTGTTAACCAGGTTCCGCACTTGACTCGCGTATGGGCCATCAGTGGTGGGCGTGACAGCGTTGATGTCCACCTTATTGGCAACGAGCACGACGGGGATCTCTTTATTCTTGGCGATGAAGTCCAGCCAGCGTCGCAGCCGTTGGAAGGTCTCGGGCCTCGTCAAGTCGTATACCAGCAGGATGGCGTCGCTACGCTTGGCCGCGTTCGTCACTCGCATCAAGTCGGATACGCGGGCTGCAAACACAACACTTAAGTAGACAGAAAAATACAATAAAATGTTGCAATATAATTCTACACACAGGAGGTGTCAGTGATGGAGATGATGACATTTTCGTCGCTTTCCTCGGCCGGGATCTGCACGTTGAGCAACACGCTGGGCACCTTCTCGCTGAAGTGACGCGACACCAGCGAGCAGATGAGCGACGTCTTGCCCACCTTCTCGTCTCCCAGAACTTCTATTCGCACCACCTGCGGCTTGAGCGGAAGCTTCTCGCGCGCCGGTTCGGTCTCGTCGCCGCGCGCGCGCTTGGATGTCACTGCCGCCGCCATCTTTTCTTTGTAGTCCTGATGGCCGTACAGTATGATACACAAAGCTACGACTTTTCAGCCAATCTGCGTTAATGTCACAGCTACGAGTATCTCATTGGCGAAAAAAATGAGAGTGTCTGTTGAAGGCGAAGCAGCGAGAAACGGACGTGGAACGCTGGAGGATCGCCGAGCGCTGAGCCCACCACAAGAGAGCAAAGCTGAGGTCCTCGTCATTGCGCAACAAGCCGCTTAACGGCGAGAGACAGCGTGAAGCGCTCTGTGAGCCGCCACCATCGCTAGTGCAGCGCCAACAACGGGTCGCAATGGTTCCAACCGACTCGGTATCTAACTCTTCACCGATTCCGAGCACCAGGCGGCGCCGGCACTCAAACTGCGATCTACGCGAGGCTGAAAGCCCCATGAAGATGCAAACGGAGACGAGCAGCGTTGGTCCTGAGAAGAAACGCCAGCTGTTCTGGCGCAATGTGGTAAAGCAGTTCAACTTCACGGACCAATCGGAGCGGGAGCTGCTGCTTTCGCTCACTGGAGGCATCTGCTGGACGCATATGCGCATGCTACCTAAAGACTTTATGCGCCGCCATCGCGAGATCTACTACCTAATCTCCACACCCGAATACGAGCGTTCGGGGGCCATCGGACGTGACGTCACACGCACCTTCAGCATTTTCGAACGCAGCCACCAGCACCAACTTGCTGCTCAGCAAAGCGCACTATTTCGAGTACTGAACGCCATTGCGGAAGCAGAGGACGGCTACTGTCAGGGCATGAATTTCATCGCGGCTCTTTTCCTTGTTGAAGGATTATCAGAAGCGGACGCCTACGCACTCTTCCTTTATATACTGAAAAAGCGTCATCTTGCTGGGATCTACCATCGCAGCTCCACTTTCCTGGACGAATATCTTCAACACTTTGAGCAAATGTTCATTCGAGACTTACCTAAGCTTCATGCTCACCTATTGGCGCAAGGCTTCGCTATCCCTATGTACGGCATCGAGTGGTTTACAACACTCTTCTCACTATCGACCAAGACAGACCTCGCATGCGCCATATTTGATCTCTTTTTCGTGGGAGTACAGGACATCTTCTTACGCGCAGGACTGGCCATCCTCAAGCTACTGGAGGCCAAGCTCATGTGCATGACGTTTGAGGACTTCTTGCGCGAGTTCAAGCCTCTAGTACGTGAGCTTGACCCGTATCAGGTTATTCTACAGGCTCTCGCGCTCCGACCAAACCCCAAAATGCACCGTGAAGACACTACCGCGCACGTTTCTCGAGACCATTTTATACGATCAATGGGTACTGCAGCTTCCCCTTCCGGTGATGCTGGAGCTTCTAGCAGCGATAGTAGCTCAGCGGATGGAGAAGAGGAATCAGTATCAACGTTAAGTGGCTTCGGCTTGCATCGAACGCTACCTCCAGAGTTGGCAGACGCTATCCGTTCAGGAAACGGGACCTTGGTGCACCAGTTGTTTGAAACGCACATGATTCGTCGTCAGCACAGCGCTACCGCTTCTGTCATCCTGGCGAATGAGATTCTTCATTTCGCGATCTGGTATGGACGTGTGTCCATCGCGTGCCTGGCGATCGATCGTTGCAATGCCGACGTCGACAATCGGGACGACACTGGGCTTACGCCTCTGCATTTTAGTGTAATTCGAAACCAGCCCGACATGGTGCGTCTACTGCTAGCTCACGGAGCGCGTATGCAAGAGACGAGTATGCGGAAGCTGTCGCCGCTGGAGTTGGCACATCGCTGGAAGCGGCGTGACACGACGGCGGCACGGCTCGTATTAGAAAAAGAAGAAGTGTGTCTGTACTGCAACACAAAGTTCGACGTATTGGCTCTCGAGACAGCAGTGTGCGGCCACTGCGAGTTCCGCTTCTGCTGCAAACCGCAGCACGCCCTGTGTATTTTCAAGCACCAATGTCCAAAAGTTACCTGCTCTGGGTTAAGCCAAGATCGTCGATCGTCGGAGCCAACGTTGACGGTGCTGAACATATGCGATGAAGGTTTGGAGAGCAACAATGAAGAGGAAGCAGCACTGGGCCCGTCTAAGCAGAGCTGCAGTCGATCTAGAGGGTCAAGCTCGTCAACCACGACCTCCATATCGATATACAGTCGATCTGGGAGCAGTGTCATGGGAATGAGTCGAAGCGTGTCTGAATCGTCCTCGCTTGAGTTCTTGAGCTCGCCAGCATTTTTAGCGTCACCGGCAATGTCGTGGCTTGGGTCACCTCGCTTTGATTCAAAGTTTGACGACACCATTGCAACTACCGATCCAGAACAAACTGACCAAGACACTGACAATGCTAAGACCCAGAATAATGGAAGCGTGTCAACTCGACTGATCTCCTCGCGCCCTCTGCTCGAATTCCCCGATCGACCGGAATGGTACTGCAATGCTCGCGAATGCCACTCCGTCTTCGCACTATTCTCACAAGCCGTTCAATGCTCACGCTGCGGCGGATACTTTTGCTCCGAACATGTCGATACTAAAACCAAGCACTGCTTCGAATGTCGACGAGATCTGGTGTGTTCTCCCCGCTCGCTTACCACCTGCTCTGCTATCAAGCAGTCTTAGACCCGTTTGTAATTTGTCGAACTTAGAAAGTTAAACTAAACACGAAAAGATTAACCTAGAAACTATTTTATTCGTATACGACGAGAGATTGCTCGTCTATCTCCAAGTCGCTACTGCTACTACTGCTAACGCTGCTAGACCTTGAGCGCATCTGGCAAGACTTCTCCGCGGCTGCAACTATGCTAGCTCGAATACCTGTCTCACCGTCGGAACCAACTCCTCCGATCTCACTATTACTATTGCTGTTGCTGTTGCTGTCGTCCTCCGGAATCGTGCGGAACGAATTGAACTTGGCAGGATTATGTCTGGCAAGTCCTGGCACCGCCACTCCTTCGTCTTCGCAGCCACACATCGAGTCACGACGCGCTCTCCTGTTGGACTGCTCGTAATTACTCTCGTGCTCATACTGCCGCTCCAGATCGTCGCGCATTTGTCGCATCCGATCGGCACTTACACCTTCTTCGAAACGCGCATCTTTGAGACGTTGTAGCTCCTGCTCATAATGCGCAACATTGGATCTCAAGTTCGACATGCACTCATCGATGTCTGGAAACATGATGTACATGAGATCCCACAGTGGTGACACGATCTTCTGCGCGAAAAAGAGCTGACCTTCGACCATCTTCAGCGGGTCATCGATGTTTCTGTATGAGATCGGGATATTCTCGGCCTGTTCCATCAGCGCCTGGTACGCAAACTCCTTCGAGATCATGTTGCTCCACTTCAACGCGATAGGCTTCGGGAACACTTGGCCTGACAGATCGCTCGCATGAACTAGAGTCTTCACCAAGAATATCCTCTCATCCACAGTTCCATTGAATACCCAGCCGCCTTTCGCCAATCTTCCACTCGATGTGCGACCAGGAGTGCACTTGGAACCAGCAGTCGAGTGGAAACTACTCGGAGCAGAATTACTCGTTCCTCGTGGAGTACCCACCGTAAGTCCCTCCGGCTGCATTACGGCATCACGCAACACCGTCAAAATCTCTGGCCCTTGTTTCCCTTGATCTTTGCTAACCGCAATGATAGCTGTACTCGAGTTATCACGCTTGGCGGATGAGATTGCAGTTGTGTCAACATGATGACTTGCCGGGCGCAGAAACTTCTCGATCGACTCCAAGAACTTAAAGTGGTGTGCCATATCCGTGCCCAGGATTGCCGTAATCACCATTTTACGGAAGTGGCGGTAGTCAACAGGCGTCAAATTCTGGAGGATATTGGCGTTCTTCTCCTTCGAAATCAAGCGGAATGTCGTGTAAGCGTGGTGGTGTTCCAGCACGGATTCGTCGCTATAAAGCATCGCCAGCTGCGAACCCGACTTCACTTCAAAGTCGTTGGTATGACCTGGGTGGTCTACATCATGACCAAGTGACGCAACGAGGCAAGCTGCAATGTCCAACGGCTGAAGCATTTGACCAGCATCCGTCGTGCTGAGCAGGAGATAAGCCGCGTGGACGACGGAGAAGGCGTGCAGGAAGTTGTGGAACGGATTCGGGTGGTAGTGCTCTTTCATGGCCACAATGAAGTTCTGTAGACGATGCTTTGTCGTGTTCAGTACCTCGTCCACTTTGAAATCCAGATACATCTCCTCCAACAGCTTGGGGAGAACAACCGTGTCCGTGGTAAATACGTTGAAATCCCATGACGGGAACCGCGATCCTGCCGGGGCGCTGAACAGCAAGTCAGACGGAATGTTTGCGTCACTCCCAAAAAACTCATACCCCAAGCGTCCAGAATCATACTTTTTGTTTCCAACCATTTTCCCAATACGCTGCTCGACAAAATCCAGAGAGTGTACATGATCTCTCATCTCTTTCTTGGTAACCGTGGGGGTAGTAGTTACCGCCAGCTGCTCCCCTGGTGTCTCTAGCTTAGCAGCAGCAGCGCACTCGGCGCAATCTGCCACGTGCCGATCACTCGACACGAAAGAGTTGCGAAGACAAGCTTCAGGGTGCGCGCGAGATGCAGATGCGTAACTTGTGTAGCACTCGAGCAGATTTACTTGACTTCGAGCACGCTTCGCCAGAACCTGCTCAGCTCGCGTGTCCGCCAACAGCTTGATGTACTCGATTTCGTTACAGCGTCGCCGTAGGATGACTGCAACTTCGCATGCGAAAGCTTCAAGAGCACACTCGTCGTCAAAGGTAAACCCTGGGCAGTTTCCTGCACTCATCCCAGCAGGAGCTTTTTCCTCTACCTTGTTTATAATCTCCAGCACACCAATGGGTCGATTGCTACCCGCAGATCCCCCTTCAGCGTTCACTGAGGATTCTTGAATTCCCACCGGAACGTACAGCACGCAGCGCGTGTGAACTCCTTCTCGGTCGTCTGTGATCCAGTTATAACGACGGTCTGACTTTGGGTTTCGAACATTGAGCGTTTGCTGAGTTGTGGCTGCTAGGCCCAACATGCTCGCTCGTAGAGGGACACGTATGGTCTCGTCGCAGTAGCTGGACGAAAGTGACCAAAGCTCGTCCGTCTCCCAGTCAATCATGAACAAAGTAACACGCTCAGCCTTGGTGATATGGCACGCTCCATCGATCACACCGTCCACGAGATTCAGCACTGTATCCTCCGTATCCGATGAGCTAATAATATGCAGCAGTGCCTTCTGTGTGCGCTCTGAAAGCAGTACGTCGTGGAATTCGATACACTTCCGCATGCACGAGCTCAAAATCGGTCCAAGCCACGTCAACAGCTTCACATGTAGCTCATCCATCACACGGCGCGTAGAGTGAGTAGTGGAGGCCTCAATGATCGCATACACCGCCTCGTGTTCCATCAAAGGAACGCAGAAAAGTTTCTGTCCTGGATATTCCTGTGCCAAATCCACGTCGGGATCGTAACCTTCTTCCGAACTAAAGTCTACTAAGAACTGTGCTACCCGTGACTTCAGCGCCTCGCCCACCAACCCTCGTGACGAGGCCAAACCGGACTGAGTCGGTGCGCCGCGCGTGATTCGGGACATGTTCTGCGAGTTCTGATCTACTAGAAAGACAGCCGCCGCTGCTGCTCCGAGATCGTCCTGCAAGAAGTCGAGCAGTAGGCGAATCATAAGCACCACATCATTGAGCTCAAGGATCCGCTGCACCAGTTCCCAAAAGGCACGATGCTTCTGCTCGATCAAGTAACGTTCGTCGTAGTCCAGCTGGTCGCCTGCGTGGCTGGATATGGAGGAGCTGCCTGTGCAAGACATGAACCAGGTGAGTACGCTGTTTACGAAAGAGAGCGGTGAGGCGACGGATCCCCTCCTACCCACTGCGCCATTGATGTGGCGGGTGTCAGCCGTATCCAGGGGACTCGCTACGCTCTCGGAGCCCTCTCTTCGTCTGCGTCGGCCTGGGGTCTGTTGGATAATACTGTTACTGTCGTCGCTGTCCTGGGATGAAGACATCGTCGTGTCCGACGTCGAGTTCTGCTTCTCATCGAGTCTCCTCGGGGAGGGCGGCGACGACAGTCCATGCAGTGCTGTACTGGTGTCGCCCGTGCTGGTGCTGAAGACGTTCCCCATTTTACTGTTCTCTGTGTTGCTGTGTTTATTTGTTTTTGACTTTGCCAACCTGTCCTCTTCACTTTCAATCGGTTTCTGTTCTTGGTGAGGACGCTCGCTTCAATTGTGTGTCTCGCGTTTCCAGTAGAATAATGGAATAAATAGGTTACCAGTCGCTCATGCAAGTTGCTCACTGCGATATGTACCGCAGATGAAACTGGAAACAGAAACAGACCTTTTTGGGCGTCGCAGACTCTCCTCTTTGTTGCCAGTCTCTTGCAATTTGTATGTCAGTTAAAAGTGTTAGTAAATGATGTAGTCCTCTTGCTTTAGTCAGCCCCCCCCCCACCCACCCCAGTTTTGACTAGAGAAGAATAGCTCGTGATTCTTCTTAAAGCCATTGACAAGAAACGTTTTTGTCTTCGATATCTAATCTACTAAAATAAGTTGAGCATGTTGATGTTCGCATATCGTAAATTATGCCTGGGATAAATTTGGCTCGAGTTAGAATGTCTCAAGTTGACAAAGCTGTGAAACTCTCAACCCTCTTTCGAGCACGCATCATGTGGTCTACGGGATAAATGGCATTTATTAAATGCATGTAGATTAATGTGTTTCGTGTTATTATTGTACATGAGTGCTGCCGATGTTGTCGCAGACAAAAGACGAACTTCTCTGATTTTAAACCACTGTCTAAAATCTGGTTTGTAGAAGTCTTAACTCAAGGCGTTGAGACGGAGAGCGCATATCCACGCTGCCTTTGGTATACTTAAGTATGTAACACCTTATCGCGCAAATAGTCTTCGAACAATCTCATCACGGTGGTGTTACTGTAAAGTTCGTCAACAAAATACATGTAGCTACTATTTGCTTGAAGTTAAGGCCGCGTTTTACAAAGCAAACGAGCCGGGCGAAGGGACTGCGATGATCTTTTAAGCTTGACGAGCTCCTTGAAGAGCTCGCTGTTCCTATCGCAGCGCTGGGACGAAACTGCGATCTGCACGCACTCACTTTTTTAAAATTGCAGCCATGTCAGCAAGAAGACGGCGGTCGTGGCCGGCGACGGAAGGAATTCCACCAAACCATCCTTCCAGCGGCAAGACTCGTCGTATAGGAACTGCATACTCTTGAGCAGGGACGGGTGCAACGTGTGTGGCTCGTTCTCGTAGAGCCACATGACGCTCGCCCAGACCACGGTGGCCAGCAGCGGATATACATGTTTGAAGCGGTGCTGTGCGAACGGCTGGTATCCCTTGGCCGCCAGCAAGCGTACGGCGCTGATGAGAACCCGCGACATCAAATACATGATAATTTGAAAATTCACACTAGAGTAGCGGCCCCATACTAAATAGCCGCCGATGCCGCCGGCTACGGCCGCGTGCCAGTGCGCGCCCGGTTTGCCCACACCTGTACTCACGTGGCGTCCCAGCGCGTGCTCTTGATGCGCACGCAACACAGCAAGTACTGCTTTGTAGACACCCACGAATAGCGCGAGGTTTTTGCTGTGCTCAAAAGTGAGACGCACGATGCCGCGGAGCTTCTGGCGAATGGAGCCTTTCTGGAACAGGAAGATCATCACCAACGCTGCGACGACGCAAGAACAAAGCAAACGTGAGGCTGATTGTAGGTAGAGAGTGAGCAGGAGGACGTGCAGCGAGTCACGTACCATGCGGGGCGCGCACCTTGGTGCCGTAGAACGAGCCATTGCGGAGGCCGCGGAGGATCGCCAGCAGCGCCTCTTGCATGGTCGCCTTCATATTATGAGCTCACAATCGGCGAAAATGGCCAGATTTGATTGGGTCCCTTTTAACCTAAATCACTACGTTTCGTGTTGAAGTTGTTGTTTAACGACTGCTGCTCGAAGTGAGCTGGTCGTACGCCTGTGTGATCAAAACGTACACTCCACCTAACTCCTGCTGCCATACTGGAGGCAACGCAGTCGCCAGTGCGTGCCACTTGTCTGGATGCCACTCCAATGATCGTCGATGATAGGCGCGGCGGATAACAGTGCGGCTGGATTCTCCTTCTTTCAGTCCTAACAGCGCCCAAGCGCTCATGTCTGCTCGTGGGATGTCCATGCTTCTGACATAATAGCCACAGAGGGTGGTAGGGTGGTAGAAATGCAGAGAGAATTAAGTGAGCTACGTACGTAAAGAGATCGTAGAGCGGGCGCGGGAGGACGTAGAGCACGTGGCTGGGGGCGGAGAAGCCGCTGAAGGCAAGGCTACCGATATTGTTCATCCAGTATTCTCCACACGTGACCGCGTTGAGATGAAGTTCACGTGGTAAAAGCAACATTTGGATCTCATTGCGCTGTTTGTCACGTATCGGAGATGGAGGTGATTCAGCGCTGCACTGGAAGCGTATAAAGAGCTGCTCACAGCGAGTCTGTAAGGCTTCCGCTATGAGATCCGGATGCACAACTACCCGCGCAACTTCTTCAGTAACACCTTCTCCAGCATGAAATGTGAGGGTGAATGTGCCGACTCCAGTAAAGAGCAGATTCGAGAAGTCGGCAGATCCGTCGACGATCTTGGCATATGATGGTCCTTGTAGTACTGGCTGCCTGCGGTGGAAGTACTGATGCTGCTGGTCATAACTCTCGGTAAATCTAGCGTTCACATACACAACTTGATGGTGGCTATCGACCAAAGGATGACCGTATTGATCCAGCACGTCTACGACGATATGCAAGGGGCACAAAGGGTGAAGTTCGGGGCAACTGTACGACGCTTTAGCAATTCCCAAAGCTGCCGGTCGTACCACACCAAGCCGACACTCTGCCACAACTTGATTTTCATCAAGAGCACGAAGATGCATTCGAGAGTGACGGACATGGTGCGCCAAGCAACGTCCTGGAGTTGTTGAGGTTGCACCAGTACACACTTGAGCTACCATAAGCCAGGGCACGCCTAGAGATCTCGGCAGTTCCTGTGCACACTTTGCAGGTGTAGAACTCTGTGCCGATCGACATAGCTCAACTACGTTCGTTTCATCCATACCAAATGGAGCCTCGATGGCACAAGCTGCAGGTGCGGCGGTGGTTGCACCTCGACACAATGATACTTTCACCAATGGTTGGTTCGCGAATCGAGTAATCACGGTGTTCACACATGACGCTGGGGCTGAACTTTCAGCCTGGTTGCAAAGCAGAACTTTCAGCTCATCGTCGTAGAAAGCAGGAGACGCGGCGAAACAATGAGCAGGCTCCGAGTCTTTTGCTGCATGACATAGTTGAGCCGCCACTTTTCCTGTCACTGAAGCAGTCGTGTGAAACAGTTCCCCCACGCATTCCACGGGTCCTATTGATTCAGTTTGTCGACATGTCATCACGGCATTGTAGATATCCATACGCCCCGCATTTATGAATTTACGGAGTGAACAGACGCAACGCTGCGGTGAATCTGAGGTGGCTCGCTGGCAAAGCTGCACACGAAGTTTGACCGACAGTGCTCGATCACGCTGAGTGTCTGCTAAACATTTGCTGGGTGCGTCCGACGTGGCCTGTTCACAAACGTGAACAGCGGCTGCAGGTACTGACATGCCTAAATCGTCAACCGAAATGCGCAGTGATCGTTGGAGGAGTAACTGAGCCCGAGTAGCACACCTCGTAGGATATAGCGATACTGGGTCGTCATTTTCAAGCATCTGAGGTGGTGGCATCGCAGAAGCTGCACAAAGGCGTAGAGTATGGCTGGCCGTGAAGGTGTGCGCTGGAACAAGTTTTACGCATTGAATGACAGTGGTGGCATTCGTTGCACCGTGGCACAAATTTGCCACAAATTTACCATGATCAGAAAAAGGTAGGGTTCGAGCAATATTCTTCATCTCCAAGGCACAGTATACCGGGACAAGTGGCGCACGTTCAGCAGCACCCATACACAAGGATATTTGTGCTTCTTGACTCATCCAGCGGAGCTTTTGCTGCGCTTCCACAAAGCAAGTTTGTGGTTGGGTAACGTCGGAGATTCCAGCACAAACTTGGGAGATAATATTGGGTAAAATATGTTTCCTCCCGAGTTTAGAGGCACACCTTATGACAGCAGCCAAATTCTCGCCGTCCCCAATAAACTGACAAAGTTGGAGAATGTGAAACTGAGAACCTGCCTCGATTCTCAAATGCGGTGTTACCTGCATCATGCATTGCTTCAGAGCCGATGTTTGTCCATCAAAACTTTTGCACAATGTAACCGCACCATCGAGTGCGTCGCTAGCATCCCTTCTGCTGAGGGTTTTGCTCATCTCAAGCCAAAGTAGTAAACACTGCGCGGGACGATCGTCCTGAGCGTGTTTACAAACTCGAACCAAAGGGATCGCAGCAGCTTCAGAATCTAAATCCACGTCAGTGTTTGTTGATGCAAACGCAACAAGCATTTGCTGCCGTACTTGAGCAGGAATCGCAATCCAACAATTTGCTGGGCCCATATTCTGCGCTTTTGAACAGAGCTGGATAATAGAAGCAGCACGCAGCAGCTCCCCTCGTGAGGCAAACTTCGCTGGCTGCAGTGGTCTCCCACCCAAAGCTATCTTAGCGCATCGTCCAGGTGCTGTCGGATCTTGGCCATTCGAGTGGATCGAGGCACATAATAAGTTTTGTTGAGGCTGAGTGAACGACCTCAGTATATTCCGAATACATCTTGTCCATACGTCATTCTTGGTCGCAGCCTTTGTAGCGTGTAGTGCGCAAAAGACGATAAGAAGTAGCCATCCCAATTGCTGAGCGTGCAGCTTCATCAAGCTCGGTACGGACGATCACTCTTTGCGCAGGACGCCTCTTCGATAGATATTTTTCTGACATATTTTTGCAACACGTCTTGTTTACCCTTCGTATACGTGTCCAGGCCCTGCTGGTTGTTGGCGACAACTCTGTCCACCGCGCCCGTGCTTTTATTAGCTTTCACTCGTTCCATTTGTGTCGTTTTCTTCGTTGCCAACAACAGCTACATTTTCGATAAACGATTGAAAACTTTTAGCAATTCGTACTAGTTGGCCGTGGCATCCGAATTGTGGAATTTCGCGTTTGCAGTCTCTACATAGATCGACCTTTTAAAAAAAAAGGTCGATCTAATCCTCTAGCGCTTTGGATTCGAAGTTGAACTCCATGGGCTTACCCGCTGGTTCACGAGTCGAAGTGATGGAGAAAATAAGGCGTGGTACATTAGCCAAGGGCGAAGTCGATTCCTTTGGGTCGGCATACAGCCCCTTGAGATACGTCTTGTACGCAGGCATAAAGCGATCCACGAAGTCGCGCACCTCATCAGGGGTCATGGCAGGCTTCTTGGATTCACGCAGGAGCTGCTCTGGCTGCTCGCGCCACCTGCACAGTAAGCACGAAGATCGATCAGATATGCAACGCCACAAAGGCCGCAGAGTGGAAATACCAAACATACTCGTAAACCCAGTCTAGGTTGTTGATCTTGATCACCACCAGGCCATCCAGCTCCTCGTATACCTTGTCGAAAGCACGAAGCTCCCTGTTCACGGTCTTCATGTGCTCACTGAGCTCGGGACTGTCATCGTCGATCGCTTGAAAGCCCATGCACCACCCCTCAATTAACAACACATCCAGCGGGCCTGCAAGCAAAGGCCATTAAACTATCAAGTCATATACCAAGCTATTGTCGAGGTAAGCTTGCCACACCTTGCTTGCGGTCCCACTCAGATACAGGAGCACGGTTGCCACGGCCATTATGTTGCGACTTGTCGTAGCGTGGCAGAGCGATCTCTCCCATTGAAGTCTTGCATTCATGAACCAAGTCCATCAGGAGTGGCACATCCATCGTGCCCGGGTTACCACGATACTGCATCAAGTCCATTATCAGCCTCACTACACAGCAACCATCATCCACGCACACACACCTGAAGCAATGGATTGCCTGGGTTGGCCTTGGCAAGCGCTACCTGCTGCTCGTATTTCCAGTACACGTCGTCCAGTGACATGACGGCGCATTTCTTGCCCATAAGCGCCAGCGCCTCCTGCATGTACATGGAGGCCGTGGTCTTCCCGCCGCCTTGTGGGCAGCTTAAGCCAATGCAGACGCAGCGCTTGGCATCGCCCTGCTTCTTCTGCGCGGCCTCCACAACCTCCGTCGTCCAACTGAACATGGGCAGGTAGAAGTCGTTTACGCGACGTCGCAGCGCTCGCTCGTCCACGGCCAACGAGCTCCTTACGGCGTCACGGCGGATCAGCGCCTCAAGGTGCTGGCGAAGCTTCTGTGTGCGCTCGAGGAAGGCGGTCATTAGCGAGCTTTACCCACTTCGTCAATTGAGACCCTTTGATGCAAAAACAAGATGTGTGGATCAATTTGACGGAAATAGTCCGACTGACGTTGAAGTTTGCTGAATGTGTTTATTTTGTGTATACGTATTTTTCATCCCATCCCTCATGTTCCGACCACTACAAAAGAAGCGCCAAGACCCGAAGGAGGTTCTCGCACTGCTTTCATTTGCACCTCGTTTCCTTTCCAAGGCAGTCTGATGAATACACCAGCTTCACCTCCTTCCTCTCCTACTGCTCTGCACGACGAGTGGGAGCTCGTGAACGACGAGGCGGAGTACGTGAAAGCTGTTGTGTTGATGGTTAACACTAAAAAAAACTAACTGCTTTTTATTCTGCTACGTTGGATGCGCAGAATCGTCGCGCCGGTGACGACGACACACAAAGCGGTGCGGCTTTAACCTGCCTGCTTTGAAGAGCTGTTGGCTTTTGTTCTGACTTGTAGACTCTTTATTCGCGCGTTAATGCAGAAATCAGAGGGGTCGGAGCAAGAGGAGGAAGCAATAAAGCACGAGGTTCCCGAGGGATATCTGCCCATTCGACTGCGCCAAGGCGAAGAGATTCGACCAGCATGGTTCAAGGCCACGCAGCAAGTCGACAAGTTTGTCAGCAAGGTGCTGTGGTTATTTAATCCATCGAGTGTATCAGTTCTTCTCATGGAAATGACACTATTTATCATCGCAGTTCTTTGCCGACGAGCTCGCCAATGGGAAGAAAATCAGGCTGATTTATATGGGCATGTTACTACTACCCAGTCGCTCGATGGGCGAGTATGGTATCGAAGAAAACGGCGTGATCCACAGCGTCATTACGGATGCACGTACGTATTGAAGAGACAATTTTTCTCGCGTTGAACCATATGGAGATGTTGATGATGTTGTAATGCGTGCATTCAGCCCCAGTTCCCCACCCACAAGCAGCGCTCCAGACGAATTTCAAGGCTTTGAACCCACAGAACTCTCTGTTGCTTCTCACAGGTATTTTCCTGTATGGCCTGTGGACGATCTTCTACTACTTTCCACAGTTCTTTTCGTGGAAATCTGTAGTCCTATTGACGCTCTTCAGTGCGATGCACATTTCAGCAGCCGTGTCCAGTATCACATCTTGAAGCCGTGTTCCCATTCCGTTCGTTACCAATGATCCTCGCCGGATAGAGCTTACTTCAAAAGCTGCTGCGGAGCCACTACAATAGCTTGATTTTGACCAGTTTTTCCTACTTTGGGCAGCTCATATTTATTCAAAGCTGCGTTTTGCCTCGCGTAATAAAACTATCCTCCACACACTCGAAGGTTGTAGTAACATGTAACATCACTTTCGCCTGCTTAAGAAAAACGACGCGCCGGCCAGTGCTGCTACGGCGGCGGCATACACGACCATTCCGATCGCTGTATCATTATTGTGTGCCAGCGCACGACGCACAGCGAACCGATAGTGCGGGACTATTAGGCGGATGTATTTGTTTCCCCACGTACGCGCACGATTCACAGCATCCTTCAAATCGGAATCCTCAGAAAGTAGCACCTGTATTCGTTCAAAAGCATTACCGTCAATTTAGAATAGTTACAGAATGCAATCATTGCAACGTACGTGGTCGCCCTCGTCATCGACGTAAAGGATTCGGCGGATAGTATTGTCACCGAGTCTGTTCTGAACATCGACGAGAAGCTGTTTCACTGACTCAGCAGAGCTGGTAAATCGGTGGTTGTTACCGTAGCAATCGGCAAGCTTGTAGACAAACACATCAGGTGCATGCTCCTCTTCGTTAAGAGGGTTTTCATCAAGTAGCGTTGGGTCGCCAGTAGCACTTGTTCCGGTCGACGACTGGAAATCACTCCAGGACTGACGCCCCACCAAAGAGGCAATATCAATGCCATCAGCATCAGGATCATCCACACCAACATTTGATTCATCATCCTCGACTTCTTCTTCGTGCTCCGCTGAGTCATTTGCATTTTTCAAACTGCTCCGAAATTGATCCCACAACGGCTGAACTCCATCACTTTTTACGTTCTGGAATGTGCCCATTTGCTGAACGACACCATGCGTAACCTGCAGGACATCGACTATACCCACTAGTTTCTTACCACCATCAAAGACGGGCACGTGCAGAAATTTCCCATTGTGCATCGAATGAAGCGTCTCCAAGATCGTTGTTCCCAGTGTGGCAGTTTGAGGATTGGGTGTCATCACGCTAGACAGCAAACATTGACTGGGTTCCAGCGACAGAGCGACCACGCGCCGCATCAGATCCTTTGAAGTGAAAATGCCCACAGTCTGGCCTGCTTCATCGCAAATCATAACGGCGCTCGTCTTTTGTATGAGCATCATGCGTGCTGCGTCCATAGCAGTCGACGTCGGACCCAAAATCGGCACCTCCAAGCCTTCCATGAGGATTGCAGACAGCGTTGGCAGAAAGAGCTGCAACACACATTTTCTAAACGTTAGAACATCGAAACCAAATGTCAGAAAATGTAGCTAGTTTTTTACCTTTTGCCGCAAGGACTCGAATAAATTAGCTTCCGTAGACCCTGACAAACTCTCTTGCAGCTAGGATTTACAGCCACCATCGACATCAGAAACTTTGAGACACCAGTATGCTTCACTCCAATTAGCGCCGCAACAATACCTTTTTAACTGTTTCCTCTAGTCGGTTGGATGAATCTCGGTACGCATGCTCGAGCTTTGTGATGGCTTCATACAGACACTTGGCTATGTCCAGAATGCCCACCACTACAAAATACGCACAGATGACGTTAACACATGCTACTGTCCTCATATGCCTTTTACACGGTTCCAACCTTTATCATTGTCCGTCACCGGCAAGTGACGGAATTGTCCTGAAATCATCTTCTTGAGCGCGTCAATCGCGCTGGAGTTGGCCGACACGCACAACGGGTCCGGAGTCATGACTTCATGCGCCAATGTCCTGCTGGGGTCTCTGCCTACCGCCACAACTTTCACTGCGACATCTCTGTCCGTAAGGATGCCTGTGAGCAGCCCATTCCTATCCACAAGTAGCGCGGCGTCCGTCTTTCGCTCTACCATCGCTCGAACGCACTGCGCCACCGTCGCGTGGTCGCCCTGTAGAAGCGCCCGTGATGGCCTCATGCGCTTCACGGACCGGCTGTGGCTGTGACTGCGGCTCGAGCGGTGCCGAACTTGAGCATCGTGGGACGAGACATTAGACTCATGTTGCTGCCCCTCTTGACTGTGTTGCGTTGTTGACTTCGCGTCCTCTGTGACCACCTGCTGTTGTTGTTGCTGACGCGTCTTCGTCTTGCGCCCAGCCTTCTTGGTGGAGAACACGAGCTGCTGCGGACGCGGCTTGCGCGCTTCCTTCTCTCTACGCGGTTGCATCGTCGTCTTGAACTGGAGAATCAGAAACCTTCTCCGACCTTTCAAAATCGCGGTTGGTGTTTTATTAATTTTGACAAGCATTAGGAATGCATAGGTTATTAGTAAAAACAGTATTGATGTATTTTTCGGTCTTTTTAAAAATAAGACGAATATTCTCCAACACCATTTAAAATAATTGGGGCAAAAGCATCACTAGTAGAGAGCATCTCACGTTCGCTGCGCTCGGCGAGTTGCCGACCTCCTAAAATTATGTGGTACACATAATTTTGGACGACGTCCCCCAAAAGAGATCACATTTCATTCCCAAATCGAGAATGATGAGCAGTGCCTCGGCAGCTGCTAGTCGGGGCGAGGATGCAGGCAGTGATGGTAAGGAGGTGACTGTAGATTGAGTTAAGGATGTACTGTCTAACATGCTGATGCTGTGAACACGTGGCGCAAGTTGGATCTGCTATGCCAGTGCGAACAAGTGAGTCATGTGCTTCCACTTCAAGTTGATGTTTAATTTAATATTTATTGCTTTTTCGTAGGTCAACGACAGGCAGCCAAGCACGTGGCTACGCTACCAAGTGTTGAAGTTGTTATTGGTCTGATGGCTCTGCCTTTGCTGCTCAAGGATGGAGAGGCTTCTTCTGTGCTTGAAAGCGCAGATGGTCGTCGCAGTGGACCCGTTAGTGACGGAGGAAGCAACAACAGTGGCGACGGTAGCAGGCGTAGTGTGATCAGCGCCCAGGTGATTGCACGGGCAGCTCACGCACGTGCGGACAAGGTGGCCAAATCGCAGCATCGTACGTACAAAAATGCTATAATGTTTGGGCACATGTATGGCTTACTGATGCTAATGTATTGCAGGCCGTGAGGTTTATGAACTCCGTGTTCGCCAAGCTGCTCATGCGCGCAAGTTCAAGAAGAGCAAAAAAAAACTAAGAGTTTCAAGTCACACCCAACTGCTCGCGCGTAAGTTTAAGTGGAAGTTATTCGGTCTTTATGGGCATCATCTAGTAGGCGTAAGAACGGTGAATTGTTCACTTTGTGGTATCAGTAAGAGAAGGATTCCTTTGTAATTTGCAACATACAGATAAGTTATGAGTCAGTTGTTTGGTTTTGCTATGATAGCAATTGTTTTCAAGTTTGACAACGTAATCTTGAGTAAAGTTACTACTTTTACGCAATTTGTCCAACAAGGTAATAAATTGAATAACCGCGGTGCCAACGCTCGATTGTGCTGTAATGCCAGCAGCTTCATCGAAGGGATAAGTAATTCAGCTTTTGCTTTAGTTGAGCTAACTGCTTGTTGAATTCCTTTTTACTTCGTTAATAAAAGACAATTGTTTATCACTTGAAGTTTGCAGCTGTTGTAGAGTCACTGGTGCTGTAAGCACAATATCCTCACGAGTTCGCACTCGCGATAGCGCAACGTAAGCGAAAGCTGCGCTAGGAATGGAAAATGAGTGAAAGATGACTTTATTGCAAGTTAAGCCTTGCAGTTTATGAACAGTAAGTACATATGCGAGTCGTAGCGGAATCCCTTCGCGGAATACTGTAAGGTTGCTAGTTTTCTTTCCCCAGCTAACTTTTCTAGGAACAACAGGCACAATGTTTGGTATATCTGGCAAGAACGAGGGCCCCATGTACTCGTCTGAAATCTGTACGAGTATTAATTGGCAGCTCAAGCTCGTTGCAAAATATTAAGTCGTACACTTCTCCACTGGACCCGTTGCACAGACCTGCTCTTTGTTCCATATTGTAGGTCTGGCTAACTGGAGCACCAATAGCATTTGGAAGTGCCCTCCAACGACACGATCTCTATCTGAGCTGGATGATTCGGCGTCTTGTAAAAGAGCTTCGATCGAGCTAGGCGATACGTCTCTGTGCTTAGCTAGTCGCTTTTACTTAACACTATGTTTAGAGCGAATATTAATTATCTGGTTAGAACAGCTTTTGAGGCTATGGCTATCCGCTTCAGCAACTTCGGCATTCAATTACGCTATGTACTTCGCTTCTACAGCCCAAGTAGGAATTTCGCTGCCTTTGAAGTATCTTGAGTTAAATAATTGACATCCGCCTGCGTTGGACACTTACTACGAAGACGGCGCAACGCTTCAAACCACTCTGAGTCAGCCTTTCCTCGGTTCTGACTAGTTAATGTGCATACAATCGAAATCTCCTCCCAAATTTCGTGACCTAACACATGAACAGGACTACTGATTTTAGAGGATGGTGTCGCTAAAGCATGTGGTATTACAGGATCTAACTGCACTGAGTCACCAGTAAAAATTACATCTCTACCTCCGAAACGTTGATGACTGTGTTGGGGCCATATCCCGCACATTCTTTGATCGATCCAGTACAACATACCGCACGATATTACACTAAATTCGTCAATAATGACAAGATGTACACCTTCGTACTTGTCTTGCAGGCGTTTGAGTTTTGTTGCACCTCCTTTCTAGGTCGTCAAAGGCGAATACAGACTTGAGAATGCATTTCGAGAGAAAGAGGTTAGCTCTAATGCCGAACAGGTCGTCTGTCCTTTAATATTGAAAGCTGCTGTACCTTGGTGAGCTAATAGTAGCACTCGCTTTGAAGATCGTCGAATAGCTGAGTCCTCACAAAAAAAACGTTGTGGGCGTCCTTAACTATGTGCTTAATGAGCCAGCTCTTTCCACTTCCTCCTTCGCCCTGGATAATCATTGCATGGGCTCACACGTTGTATTATTTACCGATGCCTGAAGCTGAGCACGAGATTGGACCATGGCAAATGCAAATGGTACCCATTGGGATTCATCCATTACGGCGATTTGTACATTACTATTGACATCAATTATAGGGTACTGATAGCAACTTCCATTTGGTTCTGAATAGGCGGTGCTTTTACGAGCTCGACGGATATCTTTTTGCAACTTTATCCAAGGTTTTACGTGCGTTTTGATGAACGTCTTGGCCTTATTGACATCCTCACTCGTGTACGATCGCTTAGCAGTCCATTGAAACAAACTAGAATCATTAGTACTAGTGCAAGTTTCATTTGTATTGTCGTCGTCTGGTGCAACTAGGCATGCCTCATCTTCAGGCCCATCACCTACAAACACGTACTCGGAGGAAGGTAATGTAGTGTGCACCTGAGTAGCTCTCGATTTTTTTTAGAGCATCAAGCTCGGCCTGCCGTGATAATTTCAGGCTAGATTCGTGGTGGAGCTCACTTTCCAACACATTCTGCTGCTCTTGCTCAAACGTTTCAATGCATTCGTCATCTGTTTGGGGTAGCTCTTCTAACGTCCGCCATGGTTTATGGAGAAATATTTCAGCAAAGCAAAAATTCGAGTTTGTAGAATCCGGTGCGATCCATGGAGTCTCCACAAACTACATGAGCTTTGCTACGAAGCTTAACAAACCCGTAGCCATCACATCACCTCCAACAGTTAGAAATTTCAGCTCTAGTAGCAATACTATCGACTAACTTGTATTTTTCGACGAATGTCGCTACTGTCATATCATAGAATAGCTCATTGCGTGGGCGATTCATGTAAGCTTTTTCTGCCCGCTCAATACGAATCGAGTCATTGCGGTTTACACTCTCCTCGATATCGAATAGTTCAGAGCCGTCTACTCGGTAATATCTCAAGCTATGCCTCATTGTCTTAACTTGCGAAACTTGCCTAGATTTTCCGTAAAGAGGAAGCTCTCTCAGTAAAATATAGTAGGTCTCCTGAGCACTGACTTCACGAATGGACAAGGTTGCGTTAGCGACACGCTTTAGAATCGCATAATTCGGTAGGTTAGGATCGCATCTCTTCACCGTTCGAGTAATTACTTGTCGAAACCTAAGTGTGTCGGGCTCAGCTTTGCTAACGTACGCGGCAGTGTACTCGGTTGCTCCATACGCGTTGCCAATAAGTTGAATATCCATGTTAGCTCTCCAAGAAGATAGTAAGACCGGAGCGTAATTGTTAATTGTTGGCACCTCTCGCTTCAAATGAATTTGCATCGATATAGCTCCGTCATCGGCTTTGTTGACATTAACTTGTGTATTTTTTCGAATCTCTTTAGAATAACCGAAGCGACAAGCGTCTCCGCGTTTGCGACAGGATGATTTTGAAGAATAAATGTGTTGTTGCACTCGCTGCACTAGTGGAGACAGATCACATTCCCACTCTGGCGTACATGCATCGGGTGGTCTGGCAGTCAAAATATCGAATTCGTTGTTTTTATCGTGGCTGCATGTAGTACATGTACAATTTTCTAACTCCTCTGTTGTTTTTGCAAGCACAGATATTACGCTCTAAACGTACTTAGCCATACGGGCTCATCTGAACTCAGTTTGAGTAAGATCTATAATATCTGGTGCGTCTTGGATCCACAATAATGCATGAATGTGCGGAGAGCCACGGTGCTGGAACTCCACCCGCCAAAAGTAGTCAACTACTTCTCCAAGAGGTTAAAATTTACCACAAATTACATGCTTAAAAAATGAATCGAATCGGCGATTGAAATGTCGTACAGCAATGTCAAGATTCTCACTAAGGTATCGCCTTCGCTCAGCACTCGTCAAAGCTCGGGCTTCCGCTAATGAACGCTCTGGGTTACAGGCTCGAAAGAAGTCTGGCCAAATTGTATCTGCCGCACTCAATATTAGGAAAAATGTTGGCCAACGGGAAGGCAGCACTCGATTTCCGATCATGCTCATCAAATCGTCTCGGGCGTTTGCCCAGTAAAGTCCACTACCACGTACACCTCGAAAACAAAGGTTTCAAAGAGTCTAGTAGCTTCATTGACGGAGATGTATCAGCCTCAACGCCTTCCGAACAACCAATGGTTTGTTCCGCCGTGTCACTTGACTCCCAAAAAGATGGTAAGTTGACACGCTTCACAAAACCATCTATTTGACGCCTTTGAATGAGATTTAGGCAGAAAATCCTAAAATTCCCATGAATCACAAAGCGGCGATCATGCCATTTCATTAAATGTGCGCAATATTCGGCTAGATTGTAGTTATGTTCTCTTCCCGAGTCATCATTCAGTGAATGTAGACCACCTCGGCCATCGAGGAAAAGCGTTGGATAGCAGTTTTGAAAAAGCATCTTAGTAGTATATTCATTTATCAGTTCAGTTTTTCGAGCTAGATCCGCGGTCGGATACAACATTTGTCCTGCAGCTCGATTTGCTGCTTTTGCAATCTTGTCAGTTTCACCATCAGCAGAGTCTGCTTCAAGTTCTAC